GACAGACCTGAACGCCTGAGCCTTTGATTCGAAGCCCAAAGTCTCAAATTTGCTCTGTGGGATCGGAGCGTAAGGAGAGCTTCTTATCATTCAGATCTTGATGCTCAGGCGAAGGCGTTAACTAAAACCACAGGGGAGGCAAAGTCCAGTAGGGAAAGGTATTTGAAACCCAACGCGCTAATATTCGAGATGGAACCGAAAAATGATTAAGGGTGCTTTAGGTTGACCAAGCCACCGTGCAATAAGCACCGATAGCCCAACTGAACTCGCCAGGGAAGCAAGGTGATCCAGGTTGCAGAAGAACAGCGAGTCTGACACATCTTCAGCATGAAGAGTACTGCGGGAACGCAAAGTTTGGGCATACTGGACTGCACACAAAGGGGGGGTATGCCGGGATCTCAGACAAACGTAAGTCCAGCATCCAAATGTGTTCATAAGGCTGCGCAAGCCTTGACGCCCCCGGCGGCTGCATCTTGGTGGATCGAATGCAGCTAGAAGCACCTTGCACACACAGGGTGGTGGGGGCAAACGGCGCGCTTGCATTCTCGAGTTAAAAGCATAACAGATGTTGTCCCTTAGGTATATTGGCATACGTCGTCAGGTCCACCAACTCCTTGGGCGTGGCTTGGGAACCCTTTGGACCTTTGCCCCGGCCTTTGCCCTTGGCCTGCTTCGTAGGAGGGTCGAAATGGAAGGCCGGGAAAGATGGCGCTTGCGCGAGTTCTCACAAGGGGTCTGACCTCGAGCAGTCGGGTGCATGAGGGCAACGGACACTTCAAAGGATTCCAATCCTTGGCGGATTTCCGGTCGAGGGGACACTCACCTGCAGTTTTTCGCTCTGGCAAGGGCGGAATCTGCAAGACAGAAGGCTTTATGGTCGGAGTGCATGCACTGGCTGTAATACGGTATCGGCTTGTGAATGAGCACGATTCCGAAGTACGTGGGGCTGGATAGATTAGTCTGGGATTTCGGGGTTTGTGGCCGGCTGGTGGCTTCTCTAGGCAGGGACAAACCAACACGTCTTCTACTGCGGACAACATGAAGCAAGCAGGTCGTGCCCGGAATGTCCTGAAACGCCTGAGAGGGTAGCAGAAGGTCGCGGCTCCGGTCTGGTTGACCTCAGGGACACGACGGTGCGAAGGACTGAAACTCGGACACCCAGGTCAATTCACAAGCGACGACTAGCATCGCGGATGCAAACACAAGATGCTTGGCACAAGTTTGAACAGTAAGAATAAATACGGCAGCATTGCAGGCAACACAATGGTAAAGCTGCTTTGTCAACGGACGTGCTGCTTAAGGTTTGCATGAGGGCCCGTAGCAACGCCCGGCCCGACCTCATCAGCCCCCAAAAAGGGTGCTTCGCAATCAATTAACGCGGACATGGCGATCTAAAGGCTTCGGACGAACCAGGTCAAAACTCGTGAGAAATCTAGACAGCACTGGTAGGCAAAGTGATAACCTCAGCCTGAGCCCTAGAAGTTAGAAATGAAATGCACATGTTCAAGAGATCAACCAAGCACAGAAGTTGTTCCTCGGCCAAACTTGCAGGCACTCGCACTTCTGGATTCCATCGGCACAGCACATAGGAAACAAATGACTGCCGTAACAGAGAAATCGAGATTGCGCGTGAATGCAAAGAGGAACTTCAGACTGATCAGTAGAATATTAGGAATGCGTGAGGCATGTGCAAGACATCGGCCCAACGCCGATACGGTTCATTGGCCAAACTCGCAGACATTGCATGTTTGAAGCCCACTACAAAGCTCACCGAAAACGATCGAAAACTAAAACGCAGCAAATTTGCTGTCGCCGCATGAATGTCCCAATTTAAAAGAACAAAGGAGTGTGCATCACACATTTGAATCGAGTCGAAGACCGTCTAGGTCGTTGGCAATTCGCCCTTCGCCAAAAAGGCGGAATGCTGGCAACTAGCCGACCTCGCTTCCCATCCGCACGCAAGCGCGGCACCTTTGACAGCTCATGTGAGCTCGCAAACTTGAACACTGGCCGCGGAATGGCCACACAAGGTTATCTGGACACGTCGACTTCTAGGTTTTGAGGTTAGTCAGCGGCGTTACACCTGTCGAACGTGAGGAACAAAAGGTGATGACTTTGGTTCATACACAAGAAAGCAACTGACATAACATGACACCGCATGCAACCGACATGTGTTGTGTAAAGACGAGCGCACTGCCGACTCATTTTTCACTCATCATGCTCGTATGCCAGGTATCAACCTGTAGGCCCCCTTTGGCCTGATTGTGCCCTTCGGCATATTGCTCAGGTCGCCCTTGCGACCCGCACACAAGTTGGGCGCACAATATGGCCTGCATGAGTTTTGAAGCTTCACTGCGCCCGTAGGGATCCAGATCGGCCTGCGCCTTCCGTATAAAGGGAGCTCGCCAAGTTTTCGGAAACTCGTCTGGCATTGAAACCCTGAGATCTCACGAAGGATTGCACATTGGCGACGACCGTTTCACTAGTAAGCGACAAAACCATGGCCCAATACGACGACATACGCCTGGGGGCCAACAAGCTCGCATTCTCCGTATCCGGGATGCAACAATTTGCATCCAGGATCACCAGCCGGACCGAATCACTTTGAAGGCCCAGACTGAGCTCCTGAAGAAGCGCCTGAGGCTTTGAGCGCGAATCTGAGAGCCCTCTGAAGCCCCATTGCCGGACCCCGAGGTCTCTGCACTTGACCTTGTGTTCAGTGGCCAAGCAAATTGCCTGCATGCTACGGAAAGCAACCAGCGCGGCGGCGCTTTTGGGCAGAATTCCAACAAAGTCTCCCAGCCTGGCAACCTGTTCCGACAGGAGGAAGAAAATATTACATGCCGAATGCGGCCTGAGGCATAACTCTATCGAACCACTGTCATACACCCTAGTGAAAACGGCGGGACATGCATGCGAAGCTTTCAGTTCGCAGACGCTGTCGGCCTCACTTTTAGCAATTTTCAATACCAACCGACAGTTATTTGGTGGCAAGTCTACTAGGTAGACCTTTCGGAAGCCTCCTTTGAAGTCGCTGGAAGGGCAGACAGCTTGCGTGCTTACCGTATCAGCATTGACCTTTAAGGCGACATCCATGATGTCGGGCAGGAGCTCACGGGCACACTCGTCCGCTGACAGCGATTTGAGCTCAAGCTGAAGATCAGCAGCGATGCGTGCACGACCAGATCTTGCAAGCGGTGGTCTTTGGGCATCCGGTATCTTGTTGCCCCCAACACTGCGCCCAGCAAGGCAGTGACCACACAAATCAAAGTCACACACCCGGCAACCCCACAGAAGCTTTCGGTTTCCGAACTCCTTTAGGCAGCTGGAGCACGTCCAGTTGGGACCTGGCGTCCCAAACCTGAACAGCGGGTGGCCAGCGTTGCACTCCGGTTTTTGGTCCAGCTTATTCAACAAGGCTTCGGCGGCATCTTGAGTGAGCACTGCAGAGCTGCTGTCCTCGGACGAGGATCCCAGGGCAGCCTGGCCCTCCGCTGGGTGGGCACGAAGATTACTGCCTACCTTCAAACTTGACACATGCGATGCAGGTGGCCTCTCCGTGGAAGCAGTAGAAGGGTGGCTCGGTTGCTGCTGGTCTTGGCGAGAAGATTCAACAAATGCAGACACAAAGGCTTTACCTCGCCTTGATCGGGGCGGCGTTGGCGGAGCAGCCCTCCCAGATGGAAGAAGCTTACCTTTACCTGATTTGGCACTGGGCTGATCATCAAGCGGAGAGGCCTCTTCCTCGGCTGGGCAGGCGGAGGAAACCTCCATGGTGTCGCAAGAACCGCTGGCCCGAGGCTGCAAGCTACCACCCAACAAAGTCGTGGCATTCTTAGACCCTTCATTAGGCAAAGGGTTTGCGTCGGCAGACACACTGCCCGAAGCTCCACTTTCTCTTAAGAAGGAGTTGCATCCACTCAGACTTTGGTCTGGCTTGCTTTTAACCAACCTTTTACCAGGCAGAGGGTTTACGGCACCAAATCCCATAGTTAGGGTGACGGGGGGAATTATGGCAGGCTGCTTAGGACCAAGCGGAGTATTACTTGAAGCCTTAGCTGCAGGAGGAACACCATGCAGTTGAGAAGCGGCACGCGCAGACACCCTTCTCTGCCACGGGCTTGGAGCCCCTTCACTCATGGATCCCCCCCCCTTAGCCGTTGCAGAACTGAGGGTGCTTTCAGTAGTCATAGCGCTGCAACCACCAGGCGACTATGCAGCGGGAGCAATAGTGACAGTGGTGCCCTGCGCGGCGGCGAATGCACATGTAAGCCCCGCAGACCTGACACTGATGGGGGCAAACTCGCACATCCACCTCGTAATTGGTGAAGTCGGAATCATCTTCCGAGTCGTCCAGCGGACGCTCGCGCCGCCGACACAGAAAGGAACCCATGGCAAGAGAAAAATTTTCTGCACCTAACTCATGGAAGATCACTGGCTTATTCCGCAAAGCTTCAAGTGCACATGGCAATGTCATGCACAGCATAAACACGTGACTTCGGATGCCTTGAGATGGCGAGCGCGGGTTGCAAGAAGATGCACAATAGCACCACTTGGCGCTCACAATGACAGAAAGTTTTCGGCAGCCATTTCTTTCAAAAATCCAATCCCGATTTTTTCAAGAAAATTCAAGCTCAAGATATTAAGGGACTATCAGCGCGCGCACTGACGGCCTCCTTTCTGCAACTTACATGCGCAAAGTCAATGGCTTGTCCAAAAGTGGATAGCATGTTGCGTCAATTGAAGCTTGTGCACGATCGGCTTCACAAGACCTTGAGATGGCGAGCGCGGGTACAGAAGATGCGAGATCACGCCACTTGGTGTTCATGTTGAAAGAAAAATTTATCGGCAGCCGTCTTCTTTAAAAATCGAGGCACGATTTTTCAAGAAAGCTCAAGCTCAAGATATTAAGGGACTATCAGCGCACGCACTGACGGCCTCCTTTCCCTGTTCCAAGTATGCAATGGCGATTTGATTTTCCGCGTGCTGCCCAAACAGCTCTAAAGCACCAAAACTCGCCTGCATGCGACGTGCATGCAAAGGCGTGCCCCTACCGGCACGGTTGACAAAACTGCAAAAGACTTGGCCAAGGCTCCACACCGTGGCCTAAGGTGGGCAGTGTGCCCGTCAGCAGAAGCCGCCGTTCCCGATGCACCTTCCTGAGGTGCTGCCACGTGGACTGTACCTGATGCCCCCTGCAAGAACAAGAATTCATCGCACTCCTCAGGCTGGAAAGTGGCTGAGATGGCCACACTGGAACGCCGAACCGAACCTGAAGTGCCAGCATCCTGCTCCGACTCACTGGATGAGGATAAAGAGGCCTCCAACGTAGGAGCCTGCATATCACTAATGCCTGCTGCCTGGGACTCGTCCCTATCGACCTGCACCGCCTCATGAGAGACCTCAGGTGGAGACACATCCAAAAGCGGGAACCTGGGGTGCACAGACGATGGTTCACTAGGGACATTCACATGAACAAAAGGTCGTTGGGGGGTAGGATGTTGACCCCCACGCCCCAGAGGCGTACTCGGCATCCACCCCGAGCGAAGCGACTGCACAAGGGCTCGTTGAGCTTCTAGTGCCGGCCAGATATCGTCCCGTGAATAAAGTCGGGCACTCCTGCCCGACGGTTGGTGGTGTCCTTGCGCTTCACGGCGCGAGGTTCTGAAGCCTCTCTGTGCCATCACAGCAAGTAAACATGCTTTCATGCTGTGCACAGTGAAGTCACGCGCTTCCTCAGCACTCAAACCGAGAGAAATCAAGGTACAGCGAAGCGCCGACAGAACTTCCCCGTATGACATGGGAGCAAACTCAGAATCGGTGCTTCTGAAGAACAGACAGTCTGGCGTCACGTCTCCAAATCGACTGACGACTGCATCCCATTCCTCACCCAAAAGAGAGAGGTACTTTGCCACCCAAGTGCGTGTGAACTCGCGCTTGAAACCATAGATGCCCTGTGTTATCAGACCGAAAGGGACCCCTCTACGACTAACCTTAGTGCGGAAGTTCACTCCCCGCAAGCACCAGGAGCCGGACTGAAGCGAAGTCCATTTGGTGTGTTGAGCATCGCTGAGACGAAGACTGCTCCAACAACAGACCAATACCGCGCCTATGAATAAGCGGTGCTGCACGGAGCCCTCAGCCAAAAGCAAGCTCCTTTCAAGAAGTCCCAGTACAAACATGGGAAGCGGAAGAGCTTCCTTGCGGTCTGCCTCGATTTTTCCGGAGATGTTCAACATGATGCCTGAATACAAGTCCGGAAGGCGGAGAGCGAGTGCCTTGCGTGCCCAACGGATCGCCTTAAGACTGTTGCCTACTTGGCTGGGCCCCCAGAGGTTGTGCCAAGGCTAGTGTAGATTTTGGTTTGGGTGTTCGTTTTCCGGCTCAGTCGAATGATGCACCGGCTCTGGGTTTCAGCTCGATCAATGACGGTCATGCCAAGCAGTTTGAGCAGGGCAAGATCATCTGGGAAATGCTCAAACCCCGGCTGCTCCCAATCTCAGATTGCCTTGCCGACTTGTCAGGTTCATTTCACGGCAACGTGCTTGAGCACCGCATCCTTAGCAGTGTGGCGGAGACGACTCTTGTGCGTTACCTCAGCGCTGTCAGGCATTTCATTGAATCTTTGGAGTGCTTGGGGGTGCCGGTGTCGGATAAGGTCCGGCAGGTGGATGTTGCTGACGCTTTGCTGGTCATGCATAAAGGGGGCGTGGCACTTTGCAACGGAAGCACTGGGATAGGCACTTCGGTAAGAGCCACTGTGGAGACTCTGTCCGCTGCGGTCTCACAAAAAGCAAGAGGTGGAAGCCACTCCCAAGCCAGAGCACTATGGCTCGAAAGGAGGCTAAAGCTGGGATTATGAGGGCCTCGAATCTGGTCGCACAGCCGGTTGAGAGCTCCAAGCCCGTTAAGACGACTAACTCAAATGAGTCCACCGACGATTTAGCAGAAGAGTCCCCGGTTCAAGCAAACCTTGCAAATGCTGCTCGAACTCTGAAGCTTTGTGATGGCTCCCAGCAATGGCAGACGCTGTGGCAAGCACCACCGAAGAGGTAGGAAGTCCTACCTCACGAAGCTCAGCATCTGCAAGAGTTTCTGGTCGAATGTGTGCCACTTGTTCTGAAATGGCGTCTACAAACGTGTTCATCTCAGCGATCCAACTGCAAGTAGAGCACAGGCCGCAATGAGATTTGTGCTAAGCCTAGTCAAGGAAAACCCACTTGTGATTCTGATGAGGCTTGGCCCTCGCGATCCGAACAATCAAGCTTACACAGTGAAGCTCACGCGGCCCAACTAAGGCCCTGGGAGAATCCAGCTCCTTCAACGAGCTGGGCGACATCTGCTGACCCCCCGCCCGGATCAGCATGCACAGCCTACAAAGCCATGTAAGTTGCCACATGGACTGTATCAAAATTCAAGCATAAAATCACCAGCTCATAGCGTCATGCTGTAATGTCTTTGCGAAAACATGTGCTTCGACATGTTGCTCATTGGGCCGACAGCTGTTGTGAAAGGAATGTCAACCGCAAACAAAGGGAGTTGCACAAAAACCGCGTTGTTGTTCCATAAAAACAAGCTTGAGCAAGCACAAGGATCGAATCCAGCCGAGAAGGAAAAACCTTCCCGTACCTGCCTGGCCACCGAATTGTCGGGGAAGCCGATTTCGCTCAGGAGCCTCTCCAAAGCAATTGTTTGCTTAGGCCGGGTAACGCTGTTAACCTGAGCGTCGTTGGAAGCGCGTGCCGTTTCCTCCAGTTCTTTGCACGCTGTGCAAGTTTTGGCGATTGCTAGCGACGCCATTGTTCGACGCTTAGCGAGCAGGACAGTGTCCTGGTGGACTTCTGCAGAAATCGCACGCTTGAGGGACAGGGGCACTGCCTCAATGTCCCTGGCTGGATGATCGATTAGGTGCTCTCTGCGCACCCAGTGCAGCGGCTGCAGCGGGATCGCAATGATGGCCTTTTGCGTGGCCTCGATCCACTGGACGAGCCTAGACCCCTTGGGGAAGCAGGACCAGGACTGTGGCAGCTTCTGTGGCGTCTTCCAGCCTCGAAAGCACCGCGCTGCGGCGCCTTCCAGAGTGATCTTGTCACTGAAGTCGGGCTCGTAGCGCATGCGTCGCAGACGCTTCCGGCTGATAGGCGCTGCCTGAAGCTGCGTGGCGCATTTCTCTACGGCCAGAGAGACCCAAGCCGAGCTCAGCTGGGTGGTGTAAGCGCTTTCCAGTGACGTGGACCACACTGTGGACCCGTCCAGTGAGGTTCTGCCCCACGGCAAGTGCCTGTGGCTTCCATCGCAGTCTCTGCGGAGACCTGAGAACCAATCTAGATTCGACAAAATAGCCGTGCGCTTGCGCCGCTACCAAACATGCAAACTCCACTCTGTGGGCTGACCGTAACTTGAAGACACGGCATTCATTCGCCAGATCAGACTTCTGGCTGGATTCTCGATGGACCAGCAGACGTCTCGCTGAGACAGTCTCTGGCAACACTGGGCCATGAAGGCTACCAGACTGTTCGCGCTGCGAACTCTGGCCTCTAAGGCCCGCTGGGCGTGACTCGCTGCGCAGTGGACCTGGCGCTCCCGGCCTTGGGATCTCTCTAGCCCTGCTAAAGCCGCACGGCGAGGCCCAATGGATCCATCTCAGGTCTTCGTGCGAAAGCACTGCCTTCAACAAGTTGCGGCCTAGCTGTGTGCAGAGATCTGCAAGACCTTGAGGCCTCTGGCCTTGGACTTATGATCCACTGCGATGTTTCGAGAAGCCTCTCTCGACGGCTGCCCTACTAAGGCGACCGAGACCGTAGAAGACTTCCACGAAAAGTGGCGGTCTGGAGCCTGCTCGCTGAGCAAGCTCTGTTGGTGCAGTGCCGTGAACGGCGTCTGCTGGCACGCACTGCTGTTGAGGGGGCGTTGCAACCACGCCAAGACATGCAAGACCGCACCACGACAAAGAATTTGTCTGCGCCACGCTAAGCACATGAGAAACCACACTGTGACAAGGACAGCCTGTTTCATGACAGGACCTGCTTCTGTCGCACAACTTTTTGCTTCCCCGGCGGCAATCCGCAAAGCATGGCGATTGCCAGCGTCCCTTTAAGGTCCAGGATGTGGTTTTCTGCAGTCACTGAAAGTGTTTTACTCCAAGCTTTAGTACGAACCACATCCCCCAGCCTTAAACTACACACCTCGGACTGTGGCACCAGTCAGTGAGACTTTAGCAGGCCCGCCGCCTTCGCTCTGCCAGAATCGACTGCATCGCACGGAACTCGTTGTCCTCGCTGTGTTTCTGCAGCGCCCCTGCTCGCAGCTCAGCCGCCAGCCTCAAGTCTCGCAGTGTCGTCGTTGAGCGCTTTGCATGCTGGCTGAATCGATGAACATGCCATGCCTTGCAGAAAGTCCTCGCACATGTGGTGCGCGAGGCGGATCGTCTTCTTTTGGAACTGCGGCACCGTAAAAGCAAGACTTTCCTTCTTGCACGGTCGCCCTCGTCGCCTCTTGCCACGCTCTCCTTCCTCCAACGCTAAAGCCTCCGCTGCGCAAGCGACATCTTTTTCGAGGTCAGATGTCACCTGTGAAGCGATGTCTTTGAAGAGTCGCTCGAACGCCGCGGCGGGAATCTGGTATTCCCGACGGCACTCAGCACCTCGCAAGCTTCGCTCAAGAGTGAACTGCTTCTGCTGACGTTGTCCAGCAACTCGCTTGCCACCTCGCATCTGTGGCGCCAACTCTTCATGCCGGCCCTCTGTTGTGGAGATTGTCTTGTCGAGAGGTGATTGTTGCAACATCATCTGGCGGGCATGTTCGTCGGGCTCTGTGAACACCTCTGTGTCGTCTTCCTCGGCTTCCGAGGCATCGCAAGGCTCCTGGCACGGGAACAGAAACTGACACTGCGTGCTGGTCTGTATGCCCGACAAGGGTGTCCTCGGCGTTCTTTCTCTTTCTCTTTAGCTGCCCCTTGGCCTTCGGCTTCGCTTTCGTAGTCTCCTGGTATGGGAATAAAAGCAAAGAAAGCGAAATTCAGCCGATTCGCCCTGTCTAGACCGTGAAATGAAGCTGCTTTGGATTTATTCGGAAAAAAGGCAAAGAAGCCATATTTCGACCGTTTGAGATCCTCCCAAGGCAGTCTTCTCGAGGGCTTGCCATACAGAATAAAAGCAAAGAAAGCCAATTTCAGCCGATTCGCCCCGTCAGAACCGTGAAATGCAGCTCCTTTTTGCTTTATTCCGGTATTAGGTTCAAAGGACCCATATTTCGACCGTTTGACATCCAGCAGAATAAGAAAACCTTCCCGGAGCTATAGTCTTCGCAGACTTACCATGCAAAATAAAAGCAAAGAAAGGGAAATTCCAGCGATTCGCCCCGTCAGGACAGTGAAATGCAGCTCCTTTGGTTATATCCCGGTATTAAAAGCAAAGAACACACGAATCTGTCCTCGGGAAGTCTTGAGCTTCTTGGAAGGCCTGGGCTTTGTATGCTTCTGTTCGGAGTCCTGGCATGGGAAAAAAGCAGCAGGAGCAGGAGCAGCGGACCTCAGGACAAAGCGAAACCTCGCCGCGAGTCCTTGGCACTCTGCGTCCGTCTCTGCGACTTCAGCTCCTTGGCCTGGGTTTGGCAACTTGCTTTCCTATTCCACACACAAGCCGCCAACCCGAATGCGTCCTCGGCAGAAGTCTTCGAGGAAGAGGAACAACCCGAATGCGTCCTCGGCAGAAGTCTTCGAGGAAGAGGAACTCTCGAGCTTGTCAAGCTCTGCTTGCTTCTGGCCGCAGTCCTGGCCTGGGAGCAAGCAGCAGCAGTGCGAACTGGTTTCTAAACCCCACGCACAGCGAAGCTTCGCCGTGAGCCCTTGGCTCTCTGTGCCCTTTCTGCGGCTTGGGCTCTTTCGGCGTCCCTTTCTGGGTCTCCTGGGTCGGGCAACTTGCTTTGCTGTTCCACACAAACCGCCAGCACTAATGCGTCCTTGGCAGAACTCTCCGAGGAAGTCTTAAGCTTTTCAAGCTCTGCCTGCTTCTGGTCGGAGTCCTGGCATGGGAACAAGCAGCAGCAACAGTGCGAACTGGTTTCTAAACCCCACGCAAAGCGGAGCTTCGCCGCGAATCCTTGGCTCCCTGTGTCCTTCTCTGCGGCTCTTTCGGTGTCCCTTTCTGGGTCTCTTGGGTCAAACAACTTGCTTTGCAAGTCCACACAAACCGCCGATACGAATGCGTCCCCGGCGGAAGGAGACACCACAACCGGCGGTTGGAAATCACCACGATGAAACTCGCTAGGCTCCTCGCAGGCTTGCCAAACAGAATAAAAGTAAAGAAACCAAACTTCAGCCGTGACTTCAGCTCCTTGGCTTTCCGTGCCCTTTTCTTAGGCTCTGTTTGCTTCTGGCTGGAGTCCTGGCATGGGAACAAGCAGCAGCAACAACAGTGCGAACTGGTTTCTAAATCCCACGCACAGCGAAGCTTCGCCGCAAGTCCTTGGCTCTTTGTGTTCTTCTCTCTTTCGGTGTCTCTTTCTGCGTCTCCTGGGTCGGGCAACTTGCTTTGCTATTCCACGGAAGCCGCCGACACGAATGCGTCTTCGGCGGAAGTAGGTGCCCTTCTCTCTTTCGGTGTCCCTTTCTGGGTCTCCTGGGTCGGGCAACTTGCTGGCTTTGCTATTCCACAGAAGCCGCCGACACGAATGCGTCCTCGGCGGAAGTAGAGGCAATCACCACGATGAAGCCCGCTAGGCTCCTCGCAGGCTTGCCAAACAGAAAAAAGCTCGTGAAGTTAAGCTCCTTTGGACGAGAGAAACTCTTTCGGTGTTGGCATGAAAAGCAAAAATCAAAACAACAAAACGCTGCTGTATTGGTTCTATTCCTCACGAGTATCGCCACTATACGTTCTGCGAAACATCTTCGCAGCGTTGTGAGCAACACACTCACTGATGCGGCTGGTGGGGCAGGCCTGGGTCGGGGAGCTTGCTGTTCGTATTCAAGCACACTCTACCACGAGCGCGTCCTCGGCAGACTTCTTGCGCCTCTTGGAGGAGCTGGAGCTGGGCTCTGCGGAGTCCTGAACAGCAGCGCGGTCTGGTTTGCCATGAAAAAGCGAAGCTTCGCCGCGAGTCCTTGGCGTTCCGTGCCTTTCTCCGCGACTTGGGGTCCTGGGTGTTGGGGAGTTTGCTTTTGTGTTCCACACACAACTCACGAACACCAATGTGCTCTGACGGGATTGGGAGAACAAACAGTTCATGCCTGGTGCGACCAAAGAACCGCTGTTCGCTCAAACACTTCATACAGTGTCTGTCTGTGCCATGCGAACACATGGACAATGAGGCAGATGATGTTGATGAGGATGAAGATCAGGATGAGGATGAGGCTGAGAAAAAAAGCAGGAAGTCATGGATGCTGGCGACAGTTTGATGATACAATCCCCATCCATGCCCGTAGAGCATCCATGTGCCAAACATGATAACGTCCAGATCACAGCCCATCCATGCCCGCAGAGCATCCATGTGCCAACCATGATAACGTCCAGATCAGACCCCATCCATGCCCATAGAGCATCCGTGTGCCAACCATGATAACGTCCAGATCAGACCCCATCCATGCCCGCAAAGCATCCATGGTAGCAACCATGATAACGTCCAGATCAAACCCCATCCATGCCCGCAGAGCATCCATGGTGGCGAACATGATAGCGTCCAGATCAGACTCCATCCATGCCCGTAGAGCATCCATGTGCCAACCATGATAACGTCCAGATCAGACCCCATCCATGCCCGCAGAGCATCCATGCGCTAACCATGTTAACGTCCAGATCAACCCCCATCCATGCCCGCAGAGCATCCATGGTGGCAACCATGATAACGTCCAGATCAGACCCCATCCATGCCCGTAGAGCATCCATGTGCCAACAGACCCCCATCCATGCCCGTAGAGCATCCATGTGCCAACCATGATAACGTCCAGATCAGACCCCATCCATGCCCGCAGAGCATCCATGCGCTAACCATGTTAACGTCCAGATCAACCCCCATCCATGCCCGCAGAGCATCCATGGTGGCAACCATGATAACGTCCAGATCAGACTCCATCCATGCTCGTAGAGCATCCATGTGCCAACCATGGTAACATCCAGATCAGACTCCATCCATAGCATCCATGGTGGCACCCATGATAACGTCCAGATCAGACCCAATCCATGCCCGCAGATCATCCACGTGCCAACCATGATAACGTCCAGATCAGACCCCATCCATGCCCGTAGAGCATCCATGGTGGCAACCATGATAACGTCCAGATCAAACCCCATCCATGCCCGCAGAGCATCCATGTGCTAACCATGATAGCGTCCAGATAAGACCCCACCCATGCCCGCAGAGCATCCATGGTGGCAACCATGATAACGTCCAGATCAGATCCCATCCATGCCCGTAGAGCATCCGTGGTGGCAACCATGATAACGTCCAGATCAGACCCCATCCATGCCCGCAGAGCATCCATGTGCCAACCATGATAAGGTCCAGATCAGACGCCATCCATGCCCGCAGAGCATCCATGGTAGAAACCATGATAACGTCCAGATCAAACCCCATCCATGCCCGCAGAGCATCCATGTGCTAACCATGATAACGTCCAGATCAAACCCCACCCATGCCCGCAGAGCATCCATGGTGGCACCATGATAACGTCCAGATCAGACCCCATCCATGCCCGTAGAGCATCCATGTGCCAACTAACCATGATAACGTCCAGATCAGACCCCATCCATGCCCGCAGAGCATCCATGGTGGCAACCATGATAACGTCCAGATCAGACCCCCTCCATGCCCGCAGAGCATCCACGGTGGCAACCATGATAACGTCCAGAGCAAATCCATCCATGCCCGCAGAGCATCCATGTGCTAACCATGATAACGTCCAGATCAGACCCCATTCATGCCCGCAGAGCATCCATGGTGGCAACCATGATAACGTCCAGATCAGACCCCATCCATGCCCGTAGAGCATCCATATGCGCCAACCATGGTAACGTCCAGATCAGACTCCATCCATGCCCGCAGAGCATCCATGTGCCAACCATGATAACGTCCAGATAAAACCCCATCCATGCCCGCAGAGCATCCATGTGCCGACCATGATAACGTCCACCATGCCCGCAGAGCATCCATGTGCCAACCATGATAACGTCTGGATCAGACTCCCTCCATGCCCGCAGAGCATCCATGGTGGCAACCATGATAACGTCCAGAGCAAACCCCATCCATGCCCGCAGAGCATCCATGCGCTAACCATGATAACGTCCAGATCAGACCCGATCCATGCCCGCAGAGCATCCATGGTGGCAACCATGATAACGTCCAGATCAGACCCCATCCATGCCCATAGAGCATCCATATGTGCCAACCATGATAACGTCCAGATCAGACTCCATCCATGCCCGTAGAGCATCCGCGCGCCACAACCATGATAACGTCCAGATCAAACCCCATCCATGCCCGCAGAGAATCCATGCGCCGACCATGATAACGTCCAGATCAGATCCCATCCATGCCCGCAGAGCATCCATGTGCCAACTATGATAACGTCCAGATCAGACCCAATCCATGCCGGCAGAGCATCCCCGGAGTCAATAGTCTTTCGCAAGCTTTTCGCACCTTTAAAGCTTATCATTTGGATAAGCTTGCTGCTGATCCTTACGAGCTGCAACACTGCGAAAGTGCCGCGCAGTATTTGCGTGGAGCTCCTAAGGCCGTGCCTGCGGCACAACGCCCGGTTCGAGAGAAGTTTAGGGATTCGGGTTCACGGCTGGCCTGCCGCCTCCAATGTTCTGGAGGAACTGCCTGTCGGACACCCCCCGGGTAGCAAGACGGAGCGAGTCTAGTCCCTGTGGAGTCTGCAGGGGAACTCCGCGGGCTCAATCCCCAAGCCTGTCATTTGGGCTCCTCCAGACCTGGAATCGAAAGCTTTGGCGCCAGAAGTAGCCGCAGATTGCGAGGTCGCAGGAGGGAGCTTGCAGTTGTTGCAGGGGCTCGTCGCAGGGAGCAGATTGCAAGGGCAGGTTGCAATCCGGGTGCGCCACAAAGTTGTGAACCTTTAAAGACCCTCATGATATGACTGAGATGGCGAAGATGATGGTCTTGAGTCTTGAACCATGATGATGATGAGTGTGTGATTGCATGTGCAGTAACAGCGGAGTGACGAGTGACAAACACCGCTTCACAGTGCAAAACAAAGCTTGCAGAATGAGAATGTCCTCAGAGCTGGCTTCCTGGGACGTCACTGGTGCGGTAGGGCTTCGAGGGCGCACCTCGGAAGGTGCACCCATTGACTGCGACCTTCCCGTCTCTGAGCGGGCCTCTGGTGTCCTCGGGCTCGGGAAAGGCGCCACTTCCAGGTCAACCACCTCCACGGACTGCACTCTGACTGCAAGTGTTTGACTGTAAGCGTTTCTCTTTTCCAGGAGGCCTCTGCATGAAGCGGGTCATCGTTCGGATCAAAGGCGTCATCATGAACCTGTCAGAACCGCTTCCCCAAGTCTCCGATATTGGTTCTTACCGGGCGCACCTGGTAAAACCAAGCGCAATTGGTAAAACCAAGCGCAGATCGATTTCCCGAAAAAACCAAGCGTGCAAGATCAATCTCGGGGCCAAGGAGGATCAAAAGAAAAAGCCAAATATCAATATTTGCTCCTGAGAGAACCAAGCGTGAGAAGCGAAAAAATCAAGAGCGACACACGGAGTCGAGAGAGAAAGGATCGAGAAGCAAGCTTGAAATGTGTGTGTGTGTATGTATATATATATATATATATATATAAATATATATATATATATATATATATATATATTATACTGATAATTTCTATTTATTTCGGGCTGACCTGTCTACCTAGCGGTCAGGACTTTGCAGTCCGGGGTCACAGAAAGCAAAACAGCAATGTGGCTTTTCAAACTCGCAAAGCCAGATCCAAGGTCATCGCAACTTCTAGCTTCTCCGCCATTCCAAAGGGCATGTGGAAGGTAGGCGACCCTCGCAAGCAGGTGCTACCAAGATCTGCAATGGTTCCCACATAGTCTTCACTCCCATAACACCAAACAAATCGAGGGTTGAGGAAACGAGCTTGCCCGGCCAGCTCAGCACTATAATGATGTTTAGGGACCATGGACCATAAGCACTTGCCATCAGCAACAGCTTGGGCAGCCAACCACTGGTAGCTCTGCAAAGCACGGTTCAAGGAAGTGAAGGCTTTCATGCCTTCGGAGCCGCTTGGAATGATGGCAGCAGTGTAAAGAAAGTCGTAAAACTGGTCGAGGAATTTCATGACGGCCTTCATGTGGCGATCCTGCTCGGAGTCCCCGAAGAGCTGTTCCACGAGCAGGCGTGCCACAGGCACTAAACATCTCACCTGTGCAGCCTTCACATGCTGCAGACAAGGGTAGGTCGTGCTCAAGGCCTTCGGGTTCGTCAAATTGGTCATGGCGAAACTGGAGAGGGGCTTGCCGTGATCGCTCTCTCGCTGGTGACTCTGGATGAAGTTCCACAATCTTCGAAACTGCCTCTGTCTGTTTCCTATCAGCAGGAAAGCATAGAAGACGTTGCCAATGATGTGCTGTCATGCCCAGGTCTAACACGTGCAAGATGTCCAAGCAAAGAGATTGAATGCGAACTCCCGGGGCCTTAAACATTGGATGCTTGAGCTCCTGCTGGCACTCATTTCGGCTGCTTCGCCAAGCTGCTCTGTTACCGACATCATTCCAGGGCTTGTCCGAGCGATTACCGCCAGGTTGTTCTGAAATTCCTCCATGTCACCCATGTAGCCATAAAGGATGGCAAAAAAACCGTCCTTGAGAATCGGCTTGCCCGCAAGAGATTCAAGGGCAGGGTGAGCCTGTAGGCTCTTGCCTTCAGGATCTTCAGAAGGCCACCTGTTATGAAACAAGGCCTCCAAGCTCCAGACAATCCAGGTCCCGGCTTGGCTAGACAGCAATCCACGGAAGGAGCATGTCACCAGGGAGTCGTTGTTTTGGAAAGCTGCTCCATCGCTGTGGAAAAGCAAAGAGATGCATTTTTCCTTCCAGTTCTTGCGGAACATTGGATGATTTTGCAATCGAGGCTCCTGGTCTGGTCTCGCCTCAGACCAGAAACTCTTGATGTTCTCCGGGGTACCGAAAATGGACTGGAATATCAAAGGCTTCCAGAAGCTGCATCCACTGCGAAGGGAGCTTGACGGGAACTTGCCCGATGTCGTCTGCCTTGCTCTTTGGGTCCAAGCGTGGAATGGTCACAGCTGTGCTGCTGGGAACCAAACCCGTTTGAACCTTTCTAACGAGGTCTCTCTGGACATTCTGGCTTGCTCGTCCCCTGGCCCCCAAAGCAGCAAGCTCCTCCGTTGTTTCGTCTTGCAAGCCTGATTGCTCGGCAGCAACAGCGAGCTCCTGTAGATCCGGGGCACTTAATTTGCCCCATGCCCACTTTCGCAGCAAGGTGTGAGCGAACGGGGAAAGGCTTCTTGCCCATGCGATGGCATGGGCAATGGGGTCCGGCAGCAACTTTCGCTTCCCCATGCCTCCTAGAAACTGCTGCGTGGGGGCCTTATGAGGTTAAGTTATGGGCCTATGCTGAAAGCAGCTTCTTTGTTTTTTTTCTCTTCTTCTCGGCATGTTCGGGCGTCGTCTCTTCAACTTCTCGAGCCCTCTTCGGAGGTGTCTCCATGGCTCAAGGCTCCTAGGTGCTCAATATCTCCTTTGAGAAAATCGCTTCGATCGAGATATAAATCATTTAATTGCTGCCTGTCCAGGTATTGATTACTATGAAAACAACATGACAACATTGTCTGTCCAGACACATGTCCAGGCATTGAATGTACAGGCACAGCGTGCGATTTCGGGCATCTGCGTGCAGAATATTTTTTGCTTACGGGCCGCCTCGATCTTCTGCTCGGCATCTGCGTGCAACATTTTTGCCTTCGGCGGCGTAGCCTGCCTAAGCGCTAGATCGGTTGTGAAAAACGCAGAGCAAGTCTCTTTTCACTCCACGCTTGAGCCAAACACCGAAGTGTTCAGCAAGGTCTCTTGCGGAGTCTCGCGCAGCAAATTCCGTCTCAACTTTGCTAAACAAAGGAGGAATGACATGCAACTGTCCTAACACTTCTCAGGACTTCTGTACTCACTCAAACAGCAGTGCACAGCCACTCTGTCCCTTGGCCTGTTCCCACCGGCACGAGCGAAGCGAGGGTCGGCGGAAAACAGCAACAGTGCAGTCAGAGCAACACGCACTTCTTCAAGGATGCCCAAAAGCATCTCTAGTGCTGTAAGCGCTCATCACGGTCTTCAAAGCAACTGCAAACATGCCAAAACATGTGTTAGCCATGCAAATGCCTGTTCAAGCTTCCAAAACAGAACAGTTCAAGGCAAAAAGGATGAAACCCTTTCTCATGCGCAAAACCAGCATGTCGGTACTCAAGGGCACACCTAAAAGGAGCAAACTTTTCTCGGTCTTGCGCTCTGAGTCGCGGCCGCCGGAGCGGCAAGTTTGGTCTGGGCTGTACTCTGACAGCAAAAGGAGGAGGGCAGCCTTGTTTAAGGCGTCCTCCGCTAGGCCTACTCCTATCCCCCGTTCCTCCCAATCTCCGTTGGGAGGTTGCCGGAGGAACTACTTCGGACCTAGTCTAGCCCTCCTCCCAGGCTTTTGCTGGCGAGGTTGAAGCAGCCTCAGGATTTGGCCCTGTGCCTCCCGATGCCGGCGAGGAAAGGAAGCCGGCCATGGCCTCAGCTGTTCACCTCCTTGTGCCCCCTGCCTAGGTGGGCTCTGCTGGTTTTTGACCACCTCCCTCAGCCCCCTTCTTGAGGTGGGTCTTTGAGGTTGAGGAGATCCCAGTCTCCGCTGGTGAAAACACTGGCTCGCGACATGAGCAAACAGATCTCGTCCCTGGGGGAAAAGCAGAGGATGCGCTGAGCATGGAGTGAAGCCACCACCCATTGCCCAGCATCGCTCCGGCTAAGTTCCTCCACCAAGGTGCGAGCCAATGCCCGGTGGTCTCGGTGCAGGGATTCCACTTGCACCCTCAACCAGTCCGCTGTTGAGGGATCACTGTGGTGGATCCAGTTCCACCAACTTTCAAGCCTCCTCCTTGGAGGAAAGCCTGGTGGTGCAGATTGCGGCTCCCAATCTGCAGCGTCGATGACAACGATCTCCTCCACGCAGGAAGCTGGTGACATCTTTCTGAGGCCCCAGTTGCCACGATTTAAATCGCGGCACAGCATGCCCGCACAACTGACCCCCAGGATAACCATCGCCATGTGCAAAATCCTTGCACTGGATGGTTCCGGGTACATTGGGCTTAGCCGTTCCACCTCCAGAATGGTCACAGGTACCGTGCCCCATGTGCCAATCTGGAGGATTCCAGGGCCCACTTCCCGGGTCTTTCCTGAGCATATCCCGGGGATCACCTGCCCTAGGCGACTCTCTGGCCCATGGCCAGCCCGGCGGTTTGGAGCCGGCTCGCTGGAAGTTAGTTTCCAGCACAAGGCGGGATTTCCCGGGCATTCGAAGGTTGCCCGGCTGCCCCCTATTCCAAGGAGGGCATAGCTGTCGCTGAAACCCCTTAGGGCTAGCGAGTCCCCAACCTGAGCAAGCCAGTGGATAGTGTTGTGAGACCTCTTCACATGTGGCGTGAAGAGGATCAGGGGTTTGTCCCCCACTTCCACCGGCCATGTTGGCCTGGAGAGGCCCTCCTCACTTTTTGGGTGAGTCGGACTCCTGGTGGGGCCTTCTTGTTCACTTTGGGCCTCGCTAGGGTGGGTCGGGCCCCCTTGTGCGGCTGAGGGTTGGCTTTGCTCTTGGCCCGGGTGGGTCGGGCCCCCCTCCTTTGCCACCGAAGAGGCCGCGGCCTCCTTTGGGGGAGGTTCTTTGGAGTCCGAGGACTCCTCTTTCACTTCCTCCGCCGGGCTTGTGACCTCTTCTGTCAGCTCTGCCTCGGACTCGGCTGGTTTCGCCGGCAGGTTCCTGCCTAGCCGGGGGTGTGCGGCTCCGCTCTGTGCCGCTTTCACTCCTTTGTTAGGCGAGGATTGGGGTGACAGGTGTGGCTCCCTGTCGTCCCCCTGGGTCCGGCTCGCGGTCTCGTTCCCCCCGGTAGCGCGGTGGGTCGGGCTCTCGATCTCTGTCCCCCCGTCTGTGCGGTGGGTCGGGCTCCCTGTCCCTGTACCCCCGGTAGTGCGGTGGGTCGGGCTCTCTGTCCCTGTACCCCCGGTGGTGCGGTGGGTCTGGCTCACGGCCCCATTCCCCCCGATATCTCGGTGGGTCCGGCTCTCTGGCTTTGCCCTGGCCTTTGGCGGGCTCGCCTTTGCCTTTGGCCTTGCCGCCAGGGTTCCAGAGGCCTAAGGCCTTGAGCCTGTCCCGGTCTTTCTTGGACGGCCGCCGAACATGGCCATCGGGCGGCGGATCCCTTTTACCTTTACCTGGGGCTCCCATCTTGGACCTGTGGCCGCGCTAGGAAAAAGGCTTTGCGAAAAACTGCTTCACAGAAGGGGTACCAGCAGCTGCAAGTGTGTCACGTGCAGCACGCTTACGCTGCATACCATGCTTACCATGTGCACAAAAGCGTTCAAGAACTGCAGGTGTGAGGCCTCCAACAGGTTGCACACAATGACACTGAGAGCACTTCCACCTACTACCTTCGTTGCACATGGCATGCGAATCATGCCACTTCCACTCCGAAGAAGGAACACTGAGGGGGTGGTTCTTGCAAAAGTTGGCAACTTTCCTATTGAAATTGGGCTTGGTATCGGCCTGTTGAATCCACAAGCCACACTCCTCGCACTTGATCTGCAGGTTGTTTGCAGCCGTGCCACCCTTGACGAACCTGTGCCCCTTAGTGTCGATTTGGCCTGCCACCAAAGCCAACAAGATTTGCCTCTTATTGGCCTCAGGCGGCAGCTGGGCGGGAGGAAGGTCCGCGACCCCTGCTTCGCCGCATCTGCTCTCCGTTGCCATCTTTGGCATCTCTCCCTTTGCTGCGGGTTGGGGTTCGTTGGGCCCCCCCTCTGGCCTTGAACTGGCCGTCGGCGGCCCCTGGGAGGAGAGCTGGGCTGCCGCGTCAGCTTCACCGCCGGATTGCTCTGGAGCCCCTGTGGGCTTGGATGTTTCCTCGGCGGGCTGGGCCTTCTTGCCTTTCTCCCCCCCGTGGGCCGGTGGGGTTTTGCCTTTCTTGGTCCGTCTTTTCTTTTGAAACGAAGACCTGCTGGTCGAAGGGCTGGACGATTCTGCCGATTTTTCCTCGCCCGTCTTCCTGGGGTACACAACCTGTGGGCCTTGATCTTTGTCATACCCCATCAATGCTTGCATGCGCCTTCCCAGGAAAAGTGCAACCGACTCTGCCAGCGCATCAGATTGCTTGAGGGCAGTTACTCGGTCTTTCGCCTCTTTTGTGTTTGCTCTCGCCCCAACGAGGCGATCGACTTCATCATTGATGACTCTGCGCCATTCTTGGCCCGGCCCGACTTGCTCCAAAAATTCGGAAGCTGTAAGGTGAGAGGGGACCCAATGCAGATCCAGCTGTTCCGTGGGGGCCGTTCCAAAGATGTCAAGATGGCGGCCTTTAGTTGTGGTGCCGCGGCGGCTTCTCGCCACCGCGCCTTTGCAATCACTTGTGACATCTGCCCCGGGCTGGAGCTGCTGCGCCGCAAAATGAATGGCCCTGGCCTCCCCACGGTAAACGCTTTGCTCATTCTTGAGCAGTCCCGTGGCTGAGCCAATCCAGTGGGGTTGGCCATCCTTCCAAATGTAGAAGGTAGCACCCCATACCACTTCTCGCGTTCTCTGGTCGTTTTCAGGCCCCCCTGTTGCATCCGTGGCCGCGAAGGCTTCGGGTGGGACGGACCCCCCTTCTGCCAAAACGCCTTTTAGCTCAATGGCCTCATCTTGAGCATGTTGGCATTCCGGCCAGGAAGGGTCCCTTGGGAGGAGCCCAAAGTCCCAAAGGCAATCTGGATAGTTTGGGTCCTCTCTGGAGGGCCACCATGCCGGTTCGGGCTCACCATGCTCTTTCCACCATTGGCAGTCCCACAAAACATGCCTTCTGGTGGCCGGCACTCCACATCTTTGGCAGGTGGCATGCGGTGACGCCCTGACCGCTCCTTGCCAAATGGACTTCAAGGCTTTTCCTGTGAGGCTGTCGGCCTTCTTCAGGATTTTCCTTGGCATGGTCCAATCCGGGCCAGTTTCAAGGCCTCGACCCCCATCGATCGCTGCCCAGGTTTGGTGCCGGGTGGCATTAACCCATCTTTTGGCAAGGAAAAGGACCTCATGGAACTCAGCTGCCTGCAGGATGTCATAGGTTTTGGACCCGATTGTCCACTGATGAACGCTGAGCGGCTTCCATCCCATTTCATCCAAGTAGCACCAACAGGCACCAAGCGGTCCAGCCGCCCTTTTCCAGGGGTGCTCAGCCTCTTTTAGCCACACCTCCAGGCGGTTCCAGCCTTGCTGGATTCTGTCGAAGTCCTGTTCCGGCCACTGCAGCAAAAGCCGGCGAACGGCCTTGAAATGCTGGGCCAGGATTGTGTAC